GATCTGTGGTTTGTGTCTAACATTAGTATCCAGAAAGTTCTCAGCCATTATTATCTCAAATATTTTCTTTGATTTGTTCTCACTTTCTCCTTTTTGTGACATTCCAACTATGAGTATGTTATAGCTGTTGAAATTTTAGCATAGTTCTGAATGTTTTGTTCTGTTTTGTTGCCATTGTTTGGTTTTTTATGCCTGAATTTCAGTTTGGGAATTTTTTAATGACCTATATAGAAGCTCACTGATTCTTTCCTAATAGTTAGGTTGAGTTTATTGATGAGCTCATTAAAGACACTCTCCATTTCTGTTACTGTGTTTTTTATTTCTTTAAGAGTTTCCATCTGTCTACTTACATTAGTCATCTCTTCTTGCATGTTGTGTACTTTTTCCACTCGTCTCATTAACATATTAATGATTACAATTGATCATATTTAATCTTTTTCAATTCCCTGTCCAATCATTCCGACATCTGTGTCATGGTTCTAAAGTTCGCTTTGTCTTTTCTATGTTTTTGTTTTTGCTTTTGTCATGCCTTGCAACTTTTTGTTGAGAACTGACCACATTGATTTGGGTAATAGGAATCCTTTATTATAGGATTGATGTTAATCATGCTAGGAGTTGGGCAGTGTTTAATATTTGCTACAGGATTCAAACTTCTGTAGCATTTTTGCTGTTGTCTTTCCCCTCTTGATTTTGGAAATCCCTAAGTTCTCTTTCTCAAAGAGAATACGTGTGTTGCAGTTCTTTCTGCTGTAAGCTACCGCTACTCTATTGCAGCCCTGTGGGTGTCGTGGTAAGGTGCAGGAAAGGGGGATTGTTTTATAATTTTCTGATTACATCTCAGTTTTCTAGTGGGCCTGTGTCTCAAGTTATAACCCTCACAAGTGTTTCTCAGCTCCCCTTATTCCCTTCTCTGCTGCATTCCTGGTCTGTGTCCTTGAAGCCCTGAGCCTGTTAACTGTGTGTTTTGTCTCCTCTGACCCCTCTTAAGTGAGACAGAAAAGCTAGAGGGGCTGGAAGGGGGGGGTGCCTTTCTACCAGCTGGAGTAAGGCTCTGGCCAGGTCTCTTCCCGGGAAGGCAGGTTTTTGTTATGGAGAAGCCTCTGGGTCTATTTCAGAATTATTACTCCTCCCTGCTCCTTCCCCTGCCATAGTCAAGATGGAATATTCTTTAGATCTTTACCTGAAAAACCTGGTAGGATTCTTGGCAGTGAAGTCCAGGAACATGTGGTGTCCCCATAAACCGTGGCCTCCAGGAGTTTCTTATGCCCAGCCCAGCCCACACTCATCTCCAGCAACCCACTGCAGTGCTCCTACCAGCCTACGGCTTCAGCAGCTTCACTTCTAGGTAAAAAGGTCTCGTCTGTGTCTCTCTGAATGTGCCTATTTGGGGTGGCAGTTTGTCACCTCTTATGAATGCAGCAAAAGTCTTTAATTTTCAGTTTGTTCAGCTTTGTCTTGTAAAGATAGGAGTGACAACCTGCAAGCTCTGCACATCTCAGCACTCAACCTGAAGCCCAGTGCGTTAATTTTAATACATGATTTTTTATATCTTTCCATGTTATTAGTTGGCTGTCTATTTTTTTTTTCTTCTTCTGCGTTTTTGGTTGTGTTCTGGGTAGTTGAGTTTGACAGATAATAAAAAAAACTGGGTAATAATTTATTAAGGTAATAATGAATAAAATGGGAAATCTTTGGGAATTAAAGAATGAGCTAATATCAGCAGATGACTGATACTCAACAGCACAAATTCACAAATCTCTGAATTTGGCCAGCATAATTAAATTTGAAACACAGATGCTCTAACAGTTCACTGTGTTCCTGCTAACTGAATCTTAAGAGGGGAACTTTGAAAACATAAAAATAAATTAAAAATGAATTCTAATATAATGTCAGAGGGTTGTTATAATATTACTGTCTACATCATTTTAAAATAACTTGTTAAAAAAAAGGAAAATTCAAGAAGTCAAACAGCATTTAATTACTATGCACCTGATTTATTCAATCAGTTTGCCTAATTCTCCCCACCTCCACTCTCAACTGGCTTGATTATATTTTTGGAAAAAAAACACGACCTATGAAATTTGGCCAAATGACTTAATGCTTTCACCACAGGCATAAACAAAATCATACTAAGATTAAAAGTAAGAAGAAAACTCATACTGTTACTCAAACTAATTTGACATCTAGGCATAGTTTTGCTGTTAAATTAGTAAGATGTCAAAATCCTTCATGGTCTAGATTGAAATTTATTTGAAATCAGTATGGATATGAACACACGCACACAGATACACACGTGGATATCAGGAACTCTGGGGTGGACCCTCACGCCGTGAGAATGAACTAATATTCCAATTCAGGTAGAATCCCTTTATGCTACCTGATAGCACCTTGCATATTTTCACAGCATAACACGTCATGATGTATCGTAATTGTTTACCTGCCTGTCTCCTCAAACACGCTGTAACCTCTGTGAGGATCTGTCTGTAGGGATCACATCTTTCTTGTTTACCGTTGTATCTGTAAGACCTAGAATAGTGCCTGACATCCATTTTCAGGTTGAATGAATAAATATAGTTTATGAAGCAAATACACCTATTTGTGTACATATGGACATAGTAATGCATGGGTATATTTGTGTTTGTTTTGGATTAAATACACCAATACATAAAAATAGGCTGATAGTAACTATTTTTTTTTTCAGAAGTCAATGACTAAGGAAATGTTACCTTGGAGGAGGTGGGATTAGAGAAATGTATGGTCATTGCAACACAGTTTTTAAACAAACATTTTACGTGCTCAATAGATAAAATGCATTTCATATATATATATATATACACACACACACACGTATCTTTTTCTTCCTAAGTGTTAGAACAGATACTAAGCTAAGCACCAACTAAAGACTAGTCTATGGTGTGAGCAC